ATAGGTAATTTGGTATGATCAACTTCTTCCTTTAACCACTGTATTTGTAAAACAAGACAGAAAAATGTGAAAATGCAATCTGCATTCATATTTCAAATTCGGGAGTTACTTCACTCACCTTGTGCTTCCTGAAATGGTTTCCATCCATCTAAAAGACACTGTAGCAAAATTTCACCCCCAAAATTAAACTCTCAAAGTAGATGCTTCACCTTTCCCAGGTAGGAACAAATTATTTGTTCACAGGCAGGCATTTAAGTTTCTTAATTTAAAAATCTCATTTGGCTAACCAAAACAGGAGCACCCACTGTGGCACGTAAACAGCCACTCAGAGGAATTCAAGTTTAGAATAAATAAGTTCCAGCGTGATAATAGATATAATCCTACGTCCTGTAGACGTGGCGTCTTGAGCGACCATTTGCGCTCCAGTAGACTAACATCATGGCATCTTATTTTTTTCCACTCAGTTTTCCTCAGGTTCACGGCATTTATCCAATGTAGTCCTTTTTATTTCCTTTTTTAAACTCCACTTTCACGTGACATCAATTGTAATATTCTGGTAATAATATCAGTTACTCATCCAAAAATGTATTCATACAAAATGCGCCTTTGATGTGCACCCTCGGCCACTATTTGCAGACGTAAGGTAAAAGCTCCAAAATATACAAGGAGCAAACACCGTCACACATCTCTGCCCAGCGGATGGGAATTTGACACACGACAGCACTTCAAAGCATACATGACTGCATGTGTTTGTGTGCGCCGATGTGAGTTGCATTTGTCATGTGCGCGCACACGGCATGCATGCCACAATAATCCTGCTACTCTAATGCAGGTTTTTAAGACCAATGAACACGCAGAATATTGGAATCTATGAGGTATGTGCCATCCCAAAATAAACAATCTTTTCTCGGTCACTCAGGGAGGTCTCTGACTCCTCTGTGATCACCTTTTATGATGTGTGTGGATGCTCCATTATTATTGAAGAATATCAGACGTAAATAATACAAATAAAGTACAAATTGTCAAATGTAAAGAAAATAGTGAAGTTTTAAAGAAGACAGTTTCGAAATTTTAAGCAGGTTTATTGGTTCCGAGACGATTAAAAAAACACAGACACAAATCAAATGGCCTGCCAAAGATTTCATTTTTTAATTCAGATTTGTTTTCATATGAATTCCGTTAGCTCTTAAAACAGATCATCTTTCTGTGGGTTCAATATTAACTTCTGTAAGCCTCTCGGATAATTTGATCTCGGGGCTGTGGGAGCAAGACATCACAGTTTTTTGTTTGAGTGCTCTGGTCTCTCATCAGGTTCAATAATGGACCACAGTGAAGGGAAGTGGTATTGTGTTTCAAGTCTTTTATGTCAGGAGAAGCCTGGCTAGACACACACAGCCTGACTTATGACCAGCGGGAAACGTTGGAGAGGAAGAAAAGGAGAGGGGGGGGGGCAACAATAAGCACTCAGAAAGGTTGGGGAGATGGCGAGCGAGGGAGCGAGAGAAGAGATGCAAAATGCAGAGAAGAGGCAGCTGTCTCGGAGGTGTGTGTGTGTCCTATTTTTAGTTTCCCTAATGCACATCTTCCAACTCAAACAGCTGCTGGAGCATTTGCATACCAAAACGCTTGAGTCCTGTTGTTGTTTCCTGCACACACCGCCAGTGGATTCCACGCAGCAGGGAGGCTTCCGCTGGCTCAGGTGTAGCTTGGCCGTAGAGGAGGATGAAGCCCCGCCTCTTGCTCCTGCGGTTGTTTTTTTGTTAGCATGAGTTACTAAGCGCAACCACACGACAGCGAGGTGCAGCGTCACATCACGCAGAGTGCTGCAGCTGCATGAAAGGGCAGGAAATAGCTTATGTCCCATGCGAGCATGTGAGTGGGACACAGCAGGCCGGAAGGGGTCATTAATGGAGGTCGTCAATCCCACGATGGGAAGCGGCTCCAATACTTTTTTTCATTTGTAATGTACAGTTGCTTCTTTTAGAGGCTGCTGATAAAAGAGAGGTGGTTAAAAAACACGGAATGCATTCTAAATACAGTTCGGTGAAAAAATAACCCAATCTGGGTCAGAAAGCGACCGACCCAAGTAGTGGCTCGGACCCTTTTTTTTACCCTAACTGGGTTATTTTTGACCGAACTGTTTTTAGAGTGAACACACAACAAATGCTGGGTTGTTTTCCTAACCCACTGATTGTGTAGCTGTGGATTTTGAGCAGACTGGGTTATTTGTAATATAAAGTGGGATAGAAATCGGTCACGTTTAAATTAAAAAATAACCCAATTTGGGTCAAAAAGGGACTAATTCTGTACAATCTGACCCGACTTCCTGGTTTATTTTGCACATGAAAAAAAGATGGGTCATTTTGCACAAAACCTTTTGTTTTTAATTTTTTTTTTTTTTAAAAAAAAAAAAAAACCATTAAAAACAAAAGGTTTTTTTTAAAAAAAAAAAAAAACCATTAAAAACAAAAGGTTTTTTTTAAAAAAAAAAAAAAACCATTAAAAACAAAAGGTTTTTTTTAAAAAAAAAAAAAAACCATTAAAAACAAAAGGTTTTTTTTAAAAAAAACCTTTTGTTTTTAATTTTTTTTTTTTTTTGTACAAACAACGCAGAAACTTGTCTGAAATTGATCGAAGTAGAAAGTTGGTCCCTTTTTGACCCAAACTGGATTATTTTTGATTTAACTGTTTTTAGAGTACGGTAGGTTGTGTCAGAAAGGCATCTGGTGCCAAACCTATCACACGAGTGACACGCTGTAGCAACCCCTGACAAGGGAAAGTTCATCTTCATCTTCAAAAAATTTGGTATTATTATTATTATTATTATTATTATTATTATTATGACCACAGCTATTTGAATAACCTGGTGACCCATTTCTTGGTCGCTTTAACACATCAGTAGTATCACAGTTTTCAAAATCTTGACCCAATGAGCTGAATCAAATCTTGAACCCAATTCGCTGAGTATCCAACATTGGTTCGGTACGTTTTGCACCGAGTGTCTAATATTTGGTTTTAACCCGGCAATTTTTAGAGTGTTATGTCTTGAAACATTCTTGGACCAAACCTCATCTGAGGTTGCCATGAGAAATTTCTGCAAACGTAGGTAGGGGGAGCAACACTACCCAGAAGTAAGAAAAGAGGTTGTTTCATTTATTTATCAAATGTAAAATATTTATAGGATTCAATCTACTGGCAGAGGACGACCAGGCAGAGCAAACTGTGGGTGGAAGAATAGCAAATGTTGCTTTATGGGTGGATGTTTAAAAAAAGCATTTGGTGGAGAATCTGCCTGCTGCTCCGCATACATTTTAGTCCTGAATTACATTTGCTGGGCTTTCAGGCAGTTACTGTAGAACTGAGTAGGTCAGCACACCGGGAGCCACTAATGCGTCACTGTGGAATCCTCAACTGACACTGGGAGTGGACACCCCGGCCGCATAAAATGAGTCTGCCTGTTTAGACACAAGAAAACTGCAGTTTTTCCCGTCGAGCCAGTTTAGCAAGAGGGCTGTGTTTTCCCTCAAACAGAAACTCCTTAATCTCTTTACAAAGTTCATCACAGGGCTTTGCTGCACATAAAACTGCTGCCTTCTTCGTCATTAATCTGCGCCAAACTACCATGTGAGAATTACACGTTGTGACTGATGTCGCATTCAAATTAAACTCCTGAAAAACACACGACCATCCCCTTTGACGCACATCTTCACATCCAGCAGACAGATGATCAAACACAAGGGGGGGCGGTTAGGAACTTGGGGAAAACGGGGAAGAGGCAATGCTGTGACAGATCACATTCGGTGACTTAGCAGCACTCTCTGAGTATGGCGCTATTTTACATAAAACATGAAAGCAGGAGAAGGCACTCCTCGGGATGCTGTGACTTGTGACAAAACATGATATTGTGAGAGACAGCACACCCAGCTTCGAGCGACCCCTGGGAGAACTCTACCCTCCCCTTCATGAGGAGCGGCGGTCAACTATAATGTATTTCGGGAGACACAACAACAACTGTTTTCCATCCAAAATAATAATTTAAAAAAATAATTAGAATGGAAATAGAAATATCTGTTTGAGGGTCCAACTGCCATACAAGTGAGAAAGGAGTTCAAGGGCCAGTAAAGTGAATTCAGACATATGTCTCTAAATACATTATACGTCTTTCAAGATAACACTGATCAACACATTTTTACTACATTTTCTCCTTTTTTTTAAAACAAGTACTTTAGCTTAGTAGCTTTTTGGAAAAATAAAATAATAACAGAGCAGCAACTGTTTAGCATGTCTGTCTCACAGTGCAGAGAACCCTCAAGAGAGGGTTCAATTCCGGCCTTCCTGTGTGGAGTATGCATATTCTCCCCGTGCTACATGGGTTTTCTCTGGGTCTCCTCCCACATTCCAAAAACATGCATGGCAGGTTAATGGAACACCCTAAATTGTCCCTAGGTGTGAGTGTGAGCACGAATGGTTGTTGGTCTATGTGTGCACTGCGATTGGCTGGCAACCGGTTCAGGGTGTCCCTCACCTACTGCCCGAAGACAGCTGGGATAGGCTCCAGCACCCCTTGCGACCCTTGTGAGGAGAAGTGGATTAGAAAATGGATGGATGGATGTAACAGTATATCCATTCATCTAATTTCAACACCCAACCGGGTCGTGGGGTCGGGGTGCTGGAACCGATCCCAGCTGACTTTGGGCGTAAGGCAGACTACATGCTGAAGTGGTTGCCAGTGAGTCAAAGAGCACGTATAGAGATAAACAAAGATTCACACCCACATCCACACCGTCACCGAATGGAAACGAATACCACGCTGCCCACACACCAGTCAGGTGAGTGTACCACTACTACTCAATCAGTGACGAATGTAATGAGATATTTAGTCTTGTTTATGAATTAAAGGGGAATCCATCTCAGAGGGTGATGAGCGCCACAGATCACCTGTTTTCCGGGTTTGGTCATGTGATGTTCACTGAGCAACTGTGATGTAATTTTCAGTACACAGCAACTGGCAAAATGGCCGCCCCCTGTGCTGGATAAAAAGGAGTAGATTTTTCTGCTTAATTCAAACTCCACAAATGCAATCTTCATCAGAATGCCATGTTTAGACTAGTGGAGGTGCAAATAAAATGTTATTGTGAAGAATAGTTTTAACTTGACTTCCCCTTTTAAGGGTTAGTTTCAGTAATCGGTGGATCTTTTTTTTGAAACTTAATAGCTGTAAATTCTAACGCATGGTCAAATCCGAACTGCTTTTATGGCATTTATAAAAACAGTTTTTCAGCTTTTATAGCTCAAACAACAAATAAAAATAACGCAAAAACTTGATGTGACGTTAAAAAAACAAAAAGACATTTTGAATTCAGTCAAAAATACATTTAGGAACACATCATTTCATCTCTGATTAAAATTTGTTGTTGAGCAGTGTGATAACATGATTGCGCCAGGCAGCTGGCTGCTTCAGAGCGCCTTGTTGTTGCAATGACTCGATGGGACATATTCCAGCCACTTCCAGCCACTGGAGGCTTTAGGTGGATATATTTTCAAGGCTGAAACATGTATTTATGTGTAGCCATCAAAAAAGATGCTTGACAAAGTCGATTTCCCACTACTCCACAGTAAACACATACATATCCACATATTACTTCTACACTTCAATTTAGAGGTCCCACTATATATCAGAGCCACTCACGTCATATCAGAGGTGTCTCAGAAGAGTTCAGGTTGACCTTTGGGACACTTATGTGTTTCCTGCCTCCTCTTTAGTCTTGATCCACTCTGACAGACACTCCATCACACACACACGCAGGAATGCTACAGTCAGTGGAGTTTTGACAACAAGGAATATTATCCATGAACTCACATCCAGATCTGTTTAGGCCCCCTTTCACTCAGTGCCATTAAACTCAGAGAGCCTGGAGAGGAAGGCCCTGTGTCAACATTGATATGACCATGTAAATAAGTCATGTGTATCTCTCTTTCTCGCTCTCTCTCTTGCTCTCTCTCCCACATGCATTTTTAGAATTCCCTGATTTCTGCTGACATGGAGAAACACATGAAAATTTCATGTCATTTTAAAAAATTCAAAAGGATGTTCTGAACTTTTGTAGGCAAGATGGATAAATGATTTATTCTCTTTGGACAACCAAGGGCTTTGGGGTTTCTAAACAATGATATGAATACAAGAGCAGAAAATCAACAGCAATTGCTACCAATTCTCTCACAACATTTCAATCTAATTGAGTATTTGCCAAATCTCATGTCAGGGTTATAATAGTTTTGGATTTGTCATTATAAGTCATTTTTATTTTGTTTTGACATTTTTATTTCGTTTTCAAATTCTGTTTAATTCATTTTTGGAGCGGATGAGTGAGATTTGGTAACGCTTTCGGGGGTTGGGGGGTGGGGGGGGTGCTTGGATTTAATTGAAAACAGTTAGTAACCAAACAGTTGAAACAGTTGGTTTGGTTTCAAAACAACACTGCTAAATGCCAGCAAATGACAAAAATACAAACTTCACAACACCTACAAAATAAATAAATAAAACTCAAAATACAGACACGACGAACTCTGTACTTGCTTCTGTTTATTGTCACTCCCAGTTGAAGTTTACTGTCAACTGAATCTAAGAGAATTGCATGTAGCGTATTTACCAAGCCACACAATTTTGCCTGGCAGAAATCGAAGTTTAAATGCAAACGGTGCAGCAACACAGGTAGACAGAACAATGCAACAAAACACACGAGCATATATTCTTTATTGTCTGCCAAAAACGACTAGTATGACTGACTTAATGAGCAGGTGTGAGTCTTCTTTGTCTCCATTTGTATGTTTGTATTATATTGCTCCCCATTGGCAAAGGTGCACACATGAGAAGGAGCTGCACAAAGAATGTATGAATTCATGTTGCACAAAACTGTATAATTCTTGACATCTATTTAATTATGTTGTTCCTGCATATTTGATCAAAGTACAAAACTGTAGAGTGCTCTTATTAAAAACAAGTTACAAAAAGTTTTTGTAACTATGTAACTATTTTGTAACTAACTTACCAGTCCTGGAAAGGACTGAACACGTTCATAAAGTATGCAGGGTCCTTCATGTCGGGCCACCATGACCCATGTTTGTGGTGGCCCTGCCAGAACCAACATCTTTATATTGTATTAGTTAAGCCTTTTATGAGAATACAGTAGTACTTCAGTACAATTACTTTTTTCATGCTATTTTCATGTGTGTGGTAGAGGACAAAAAAAGCAGGGAGACAGGAGAAGCAGGGTGAACATAATGTATTCACAAAAACACTTGCAGGGGTAGGAAAACTAGATTGAAAGCACCAACAAAGTCCTTTTTTTCCAGTATAAAATTTAACTTGATAGTGACCATTTGACATTTTATGATCTTTCCATCTTGTTCATTACCTATGGATGCAGTTAAGATGATGCGCAAAAAAAAAAAAAAAAAAAAATGGGCCCAGCGAAGTAAAAAGATCAGTGATGAGTGATTGACTGAAGTGTATAAAATTCAAAAGATTGATATATGTGTCAGTGAATTTCGGGTGGCATGGCACAGTCAAGTGTATAGCCCTATATTAAAAAAAAAAAAAAGAGTTTTCCATTTACCCGACCTGCATATTTTAGTATTCGGAGGGAGTTATCTGGAGAATAAGCAAATTGGAACCCTAAACCTCAGAAATGTGAGGCAGACGTGCTAACCACTACCCACTAGTTTGTGTAAATACATAATATATTTAATCCACGCAACTGGCTTGCAAATGGTTCAGGGGGTGGATAGATATTTAATTTGTGATATTTAATTTAATGTTCACTTTTACTTTCTCAATCTTAATAATATTAATTAAAAATATGGTAAGCATATGTTTTCAACGGCTATTTTTGAACAAAACAAAACAGTTGACATTCACTGTACAAAAGGGACCGTCGCCCATAATATGACAGAAAGATTTCAGGTGACGCTGCATGGTCAGTAAACGCACCAGCAGAGGGAGACCATGACATATGACAAGTGTGTAAACTGGTGCTATCTTCTTACATTCATCGATATTCTGACACAATACAGTACACTTAGAGCACGTTCTCGTCGACAAATTTTAGATTAAATTTTAAAAAGCAACATCGAATGAAATCATATGCATAAAACGCCTACAGCCTTACAGCTCGGAGAATGCGGAAATGGGATTACGTTGAGTTACATTAGTAAGTAAAGCCGAAATAATTAAAGTGTTATGTCATCTAGCTCTCACTGCCGAATTCCACTGTTTAGTCAATGACAGTGTTTAGACCGTCAAGGGTTAACGTCGACGGGAGTGAAATTCGATACAGCTGCTGAGGGTGCCCACTGCTAAGAAGCAGCCTCATACCTGTTGCTTGAAAACGTTTGTTTCCACGCTTGTCAGGTGCGTCGTGGTCGCCATTAGCCGCGCCGATTTAGTGTCTTGCCGACCGGGAGGACGTCATGGTGGCGGCGGCAGGGAAGAACTTGTCCTGATAGTGTGGAGTTGCTTTGGCCGCCTGCGGACGTGCATGTAAGTTGGACTGTAAGTGTTATCAGTCGTTATTGTTCAAACAAAAGCCCGTGCAGTCACTTTCACGGTGCCAGGTGAGCTGGCATGTAGCGTGGCAGCGGGTGCTGTACTATTGCCCATGTGGGTTTCGAACAGCATGTAATAAGCAGAAAAGTGATTGCTTTAAAATGCAACGTCACACTTATAACATAAATTGTTTTCTCTAAGGTGGCAGCAACAACACCTTTTCATTGTCTTTAAGAAGGTGGAGACTTTGGGTTGTTTGTCACATATGTGACTTACGAGAATGCACGATGAATAAATGAACAATGTTTAATGTATTTTGCTTTGTGGGTTAGTTTTAGGGTATATTTCATTGAGGCGGGGTAACGATGTGACAAAAGTTCCCAAAAGTGTCAGTCTGTCAAATTGCTACGTTTAAACGGCAATTTCAACCTGAATACAACGCAGCAAGAATTTAGAAAAATCGGATGATAGGTTCCAGATAAATTGAGGGTTTTATTTTGTGTTGGGAACAAAAAAAAAAAAAAACTATAGAAAATCTGTTTAAAGAAATATTTATAATTAGAGTAAAACAGCATAATGTGATTATTTCTCAACTAGGGGTGTTCCGATCAGAGTTTTAATTCTGATTCCAAAACCGATCATCCAAGCTTGACATCGGCAGATACCAGTTGTGATACCGATCACATTGATTAACTACACGTTCCTGATTCTGGTAATTTTATATGCCCATACGATATGTATCCCAATATAGTATAGATTCTATACTATATTGGGATACATATCATAAATATGTTCTATACTATAGAACATATTTATTCTATATAGACAGCACAAGAAAATAAGGGAAAAAAGTCATTAAAAAATTTCAGCCTCTCAAAAATACCATTGAAAATATCAAGTGGTTTTGTTGCCATTGTTGATGTTGATGTTGCTTTTCCCCCCACCCATAATATGAATCCAAATATCTCGGAAGTTCCCTCTTTGATACTTGCCTCACATGGTGGCTTCTGCATGCAGCGTCATAATGTTGCCACGTTCTCACACTGCAGGAATGACCCGTTTATCGCGGGGGTTACGTTCCAAAAAAAAAAAAAAAAACTGTGCTAAGTGAAATGCGTGAAGTAGTCATCTTTAATTTGTACAATTATTACGTATACAGTACCATACCGTATTGAATGAAACCAAAGATTAAGCCTTTTTTCAGGCCCAAGCATTTAAAAAAAGCCCAGAATATAAAAGTTTTCTTATAAACAACTGACAGTTTTTATAAATACTGTACAGAAAGTTTCATCGATATTGTGGGCTTTGTCATGGAGAAAATTTGGCAAGGTGTACAGCGATGAGGCGCGGAGACGGTTGACATGAGTCCCTTAGCTCAGGGGTACTGTCAGAGATTTTCTCGGACAAAGTTAAAGAAATGACTCGGCACACAGGGAAAATTGTCTTCAATATCGGTGGGAGGGGATCTCTGAGAGCGAACGACGGTTTAGTTGCTCCGATGATCACACTCTCGGCTCCCTCTCCGCCGGTTCGAACTTTTATTGCAAAATACAAGAAAGACACTGCCCCCGAGATTTGCATACCGCGCCCCCCGGTCCGGCCCCTCGGTAGTGATCTGATCTACCCGAATACACAAGTCACAGACTTTGCTGATGACAAATGTCCACCTGGGTGCGACAGCTGTTCCCAAACTGTCTTTTGGTATTCAACAACTCTTTGTTCCCAATTTGTTTATTCCCACTCTGTGATTGAATCTAGCCTTCTTCCATCTGTTCGCCCCCCTTGCTTTGACGTGATTACTCAAGAAAAGGCCCTCCGCCCAAACGGCCGACACCTCTGCGCTGAGTATGTCCAGACATGCCCAAATTAACCGAAACTTTAAACATGATACAATTTTGTTCATAGATTTCTCTATCAGGTACCAATTACGTCGATCGCAATCGACCGGTAGATCGCGGACTGGTCCCAAGTCGATCGCGAGGGGTGTAGAGGAGAAAAAAACCCAACAACCATTTGTGTGTCTTTGTGCATGTTAGTGATATATTTTTTGCGTTAATGTACACTGCACCCTAATCATCCTATCAGTCTCATTTTCTCAAAAAGTATTTAAAAAATAAAATAAAATAAAGCAGGTAAATCTTTAACCTATGGTGGCGAATGACCTGCGTCACCGGAAGTTGTTAGCGCTCTGCAGTCTGCAGTTGCAGCTTGTGATCAGAGCTGTTGCGCAATATCTTTTAGCGTTATCATTATTCTCATTCAGAGTTTGTTTCGTGTACAATTCACCGATGGCACAGGCAAAGAATAGGAATCTAGAGGGCCGAGGGAAGCACTTTAGAACGGTACGTGTGAGCTACGATAGTTAACAGGCTGCAAAAGTGCGTCGCATGCCTCCTGTTGCTCATCATGGCGTGCGTGTGTATGTGCGTGCGCGTGTACGGTAACGGGTTGTGTGTGTGTGTGTGTGTGTGTGTGTGTGTGTGTGTGCGCGCGCGCGTGGGTGCGCGGTAACGGGTTGATCACGGGAGGTTGGTTGATCGAAAAGTCGATCTTCGGTCCAAAAAGTTTGGGCACCCCTGCCTTAGCTGATCAGGATGCAGAATACAATACACTGTTTGAAAAAAAAATCAGTTTAACAGCAAAGCCGTGAAAGATGAACCGTGTTATAACAAGGGATTACTGTATACCCCCTAACCACCCCACCCCCAAAAAACATTTTCCTTCAAAACCAAACAAATGGAACGCTCCCTTGAAAATGCACATTTTAAAATGTAAACACAAACAGGCAAGACTTTTCATGAATCCCAACTCAAAGGCAAGTAGAGTCTTTCAGAAGTTTTAGCCAAGCAACGACTGGTTATTTACATCCAACTCGAGTGCTAATATCTCTCTCCTGCTGTCTTTTAGTATGGTGGATTAAGTGATCGAGAATCTGCAATCCCCACACAAATGGAGACGCTCTCCATAATGGCCTTGCTGGAGTGCCCTCTGTGTTACGAGCAGCTGGATGCATCAGCCAAGGTGCTGCCCTGCCAACACACTTTCTGTAAGGCCTGCTTGCAGAAGCAGGAGGCGGCACACTCGCAGATGTTCTGCCCAGAATGCAGAGCTCCCATCAGGGCCCGAACAGTGGAGGAGCTACCCGCGAACATCCTGCTGGTGCGGCTCCTGGAGGGTTTACAGGGGTCAGCGGGGCCTAGCCGGAACTCGCGCTACACTGTACCCTTTGCCAGGAGCAGTGGGACTGTCAGGGAGGGTCATTACAGAGAGCTGCAAGGCCACAAAGAGGTCAGTGTGCATCTATATGTAGCAATGTGGCATTGTCTAAAGACATGAAATATAAAATGAGGCAATTTGGATGAACCCCAACTTCACAGAGATTAAGTAAATGTGGCAGTCAGTGATCAAAGGCTGTGCTCTCACACTGCAGAGCGTGAAACACAATTCAGATGTTTTGCTAAATCCGATCTTATTATGTACTCGTTCACATTGCATTAACCAATGCATCCGTGATGTGACGCTCATGTGCTCAAAGCACGCCATCGAGTTACCAAAAAAAAAAAAGACGTCACAAGGTGTAATGTTTACGGAAGGTGAATATGGTCCCACCTATCGGGGCTCATTTCACCAATTTTCTCATATTGCCAGAGTAGCAAGGCGGGATGAGGTAGAAATAGTTTGAGGATTGCCTCATTCGCTGGAGATACAGACGCTCCCCAGCTAACGAACGAGATACGTTCCGAAGGATCGTTCGTTAGCTGAATTCGTTCGTAAGTTGCTTCAGTGCTATATTTTGTATGGAACGTATGTTTAAGGCTTATATAAGTATGTTTAAGGTTTATATAAGTATAATAAAATGAAGTTTAACTTACTTTTGGAAGATGTACTCGAAGGCTTCAGGAGATGATGGACGATTGCACAGTTTTCTTCTTTTTCTCATCATAAATGATGCAGTAGCACTGTATGGCATCATTCATTTGATTTGCAACCTTTGTGCAACGTTCAATATTTGGGTCTTGCTGCTCGAAGAGTGCGATGGCTTTATCAATGAGCGAAAACCCCTCGGCCAAGAGTTCCGTCAAAAACTTCTTCATGGGGACAGGCGTTTCCTCCTCCTCCTCTCACAGCGCCTCACGTCGGTATTAGCCGCGGAAAGAAGTACTACAGTACTCGGAAAAAGGCGCGCAATACAAAATCTAACTTACAGCATCTCTGTCGGAGAACATTTTTCGACATACCTGTACCCGCAAAAATGTTCGTATGTACCGTTGTTCGTAACACGAATGTTCGTAAGCTGGGGAGCATCTGTATCTACTAAAGATGACGCCACGTCATTACCGCGTGTAATCAGTGTCCCAGCTGCATGGCTGAATTACTACTCAAATGTCCACTTTATGCTTCATGATTCAACTGGGATTAAATTCATGTCAAATGTAAAGACAACAACTGTTACTCAAAACAACATTGCAGTTTCATGGATGATGTCAGTAGTCTCTTGAGCACACTGCCCCACCCGTGCGGAGCAAATATTGCGCTTTTGATGACCTACAGGTCGTATGTGTGTGGATGGACGTTCATACTGCAAACACATCACATACATATCCGATTTACATCCCCCATACGAAAAAGACCCAGGTCGGAGTTGAAAAAAATCAGAATTGTACTGTTTGCACTGCATGAAAAAATCAGATGCGTGTCGATTATGAGCAAAAAAAAAAAACGTAATTGAGCTGTCGTGCAAACATAGCCAAAATCTATGAGTCTATTTGGTATAGTACAGTGGTCGTCAACTGTTCTCACCTTGTAAGGAAAACACTTTCAGGCTACAAAAAAACAAAACAAAACACTGACTTGCAGCCTTTCAAGCATCCACAATGACGGATTATTTTGAAAAAAAAAAAAAGAATTGAGATGAGCCTAAAAAGATGCGGTTTCCTTTTTGCAATGCTAACAGTCAAATTGTCTGACCTGGTAAGAGTGGAGTGGCGGATTTCTTACTTTACAGCAGTCTCAAATGCAACATGAGTCATCTGACTTATTATTTCTGGCACACCTCCGTATGTTCAACATAGTTCTTTGTACTTGTCTGCTGCAATCCTTAGCATCTATTGTCATTCTAAGCCACCCAAATACTTATCGCTTAATACACACAATAGTATGTTTGAACATAATGCTCGTTTTCCGAGTGTCCATTTATGAGGACTATGCGGTATGATGCCAAATTGTAAATGAAGGCTGCTTCACGCTGCATAGTCTTCCACAATATCCAAGCCTAAGTGGGTTGATTCATGCAAAAGCCAGAGGAGATGGGTAGGATTACCAAAAGCCCAAAAGTGATCTGAACCATCACATTATGCCCTTGGGCGAATTGCAAATTAAGGGCTTCTCAGGTCTCAGGGCTTGAGGTTTATTCCAATCAGTTTCTACAATGAGAATTTTTCCTTGACACTGGTTGACTTGGGAAGATGCTATTCTGTCAAATAGAGCTGTAACAATTAAATCACCAATATGGAGACATTTTATGTTTGACTATCAAATCTAAAACGATGATGATGATGATGATGATGGTAGATTGGTTTATAAAAAAGAGAAGAGCAATTTATTAATGAGGGAAAGCAGAAAGTCAACGCAGATGCTGCTCACATTTCTCAGATCTGTTTAACAGTCTGAGTTGTCACAAGTTTAAAAAGAACTCAAACATGGCTCATTGAGAAATGAAATAATGGCACATGACTTTTACAACACATGATGCATAAAGTCTTGCGGTTTTTACTGTGCCCTTTGTTACCCTACTTCTGGTTTATATTCTTTTCAATCTTAACATTCCTTTCAAGATAAAAAAAAAGTCCAAGCCTGACAGCAAATAGTTACTCATTTGATGTTTGCAGAACTGAGGTCTTGTGAGGGATGCTGACGTTTGGCGTGATATTGTGCTTGTCGGCTGTTGGAATTTGTTTTTTCAGAAAATGTTGGTTAAATTGTACAAGTATAGTTGTCGTGTATTTTACACAGAATCCATTGGAACCTGTTTTCAATCCACCTGCACAGAACTGAACTCCATCATTGGGTCTACCAAAAGCTTCATGGTGTACAGTATACGTCATCAGGCTGCATCTGTTCGTTCCCACTAAAACGCAGAGTTTTAGTTGTACATCATTTAAACTAGAGTTTACACTGATCTTATTGACCGGATCAAAATCAGTTGATGTTGATGGTGATCGATTGTAATATCATAAGTTGCTCAATCTATCAATGGCGTAATTGATCGGGTTAGCAAAATAAGACATTGCTTCAAACACAACCTAATTCACATCGGGGTTGTTCTCTGCTACTGCATTGTGGATGTGAGCCCTGTATACAGTATGTGTGTTATTTATTTAATTTTAACATCTCTTGAATACAGAATAGTCCCCCCGCCTTCCCTCGGCTCAAGTTCTGTGAACTTCTGGCCACGCAGATTTAGCCACTCACAGATCCAACCAACAGGCAGTCGTGCTGATGAACAATCACAAATATAGTTCCGTTGTTGACAAGACGCACTGAACTTTTGATAAACGAGGATACATGATATACTGAAGTCAGACCGAATGTAAGTTGAACTATTCCCGCGACACAATTACATACAAAGTCACAGTTTGCATAAATAGAGCCGAATCTGGATAGCTACACCGTAGCCAAACGGCCTTGAGAATGTGCTTAATATTCGACAGTGCAGGTAAAAAGTGGACAAACAATGTAGGATGAAATAATCTTTGCAGTCTGTGGCACCAGGACTTGTACAACACAGCCAGTTTCCAATACGAATCAAAAATGAGCAGGCATAGGCCACTTGGTAGAGCTGATAAGTAAGTAGACTTGGTTACAACTTTTGAACCAAGATAAGCAATAGGTTTAGCAATAGCCCGGCCATGCATTTTTTTTTCGTTAATGTCAGAAAAGGACATGTGACCATTATGTATCATCTCAAATTATTATTCACATTTCTTTTTGGGAAGAAGAAGAGATAGGGGGGATTTAAATTATTATTTTTTTTGCCAATGCTTTTTCGATATGGCAGTGATTGGCTGTAGATGAAATGTACAAATTATTCAAATAGATGTTTGCTCCATTTTCTCATCAAATCGGTGATCGAGTATTGTTTTAGGTTTTTTTTCCAACTTGCTGATGGCCCCCAAAATGTGTATCACCTAAAGCCTAATTTAAACTATTCAGTGTTCACAAGTTGTTATAAATTCTTAACTTCGGTTCAGTGAGAGTTCAAAAAGCTCGGCCGAGTTCATGACGGGGGGAGTTTGTGATCATTGTGCTATTTAGATGCCCGAGACGAGCTGCAGTTCAGAGCAGCGTTATATAACCTATTCTTCTTATCCTCTCAATCGGACCAAGCTTTGCAAAATGTAATTTTAGTGTTGTTGATCTTAAAATAACATCAACCTGGCCATGAGAAGCCCACTGTGCCTGAGAAGGAAGCTCTTTCAGTATCTTTATTCAGCTGAGTTCCTATGAAGTTGTCTTCAAATAATGCATTAAAGAAGAAAAACACTCACCTGGAGAATAATGCGTCTGCAATATTATTTTGTCAAAGTAGGTTGCTGATGAATTAATTCACTGGCACACAATTCTTACTTTGCGAAGATAATGTTTCAAATATTTGCACCTCTCATTAACCCTAATCAGATAACCGGAAAAATTATCTTATGAAGCGGGGTGTGATAATTAATATTCATATGAGGAGTAAACACAAGGATGACAGTCGTGCTATGAATTAGGATTGTAAACAGTATGATGATGTCTGCTGCAGGCTTTGGCCCTGCCCGCTCACATCTCCAGTACAGTGAAACTCCTCTACAACGAAATCATGTTTGCAGCAAGAAATCTTTCACAACAGGGGGTTTTTCACTGTAGCAAAATTGATCTCAGATGTAAACACACACACATACACACACACAAACGTATGTGTACACGCACACACAAACGTATGTGCACTCTTTATTTTTATTCCTATAGTGCATAAGTATGAGCATACACTTATTTGACACTTCATATAGTCAGAGTAGAAAGAAAAAAAGGGAAAGAAATTGCGAAATTTACGCTCATCATTCACTTTCACTTACATCAATTTCTTGGATAATGTCTTTTATTTTGCTTCCTGTGTCTTTCATTTTGATCACTTTTCGCCTCTCTTCCAGCGTCAGAGCTCTTCTTGTCTTAGCTGCTTGACATCCAAAGGTCCGTTTTGTAGCCATTTTAGTAATGCAATGTTTTTGCTGCGTCTGAAACTAACAAGAACAAATACTTCCTGGACTACTGCGCATGTGTAAACCAGTGTGGTGGTTGCTGTTGCCGTTTACGAACGAAGCAGTAGAGGTCGCTGTTGGATTAGACTTCGTTGTAGTGAATCTTGTTGCGAGGCAAGAGCAGAGAAAAAGATTTTGTATAACGCAACGGGGTGTTTTTTCGTTGTATGGGGGGCAGGAAAGTGGGAATGGTGTTAATTCATGAAGATTTTTTCACACTAGGGGGTATTTTCGCCCGTGCAGGTTTCGTTGTAGAGGAGTTTCACTGTATTTTTAGTCGTGCAGTATTTTTTCACACCGAAAGTCTACCACTTCTCAAGTGATCTTCACACTTGTAGTTCCGTGCCTCTGTAAGACTCACTCACTATTTATTCAGCAATAATTTACCTACTACTACTTAATGTGGACAATGTTGTTTTTGAATAAGAAAAACTCAGAAGTTACTTACAATCTGTGTCATGGAACTTAACATTAGCGGTTCCTCAGGTGAGCGACATAAGATTCCATGAGCATCTGTTTTCTTGTTTTATCACTGAACATTCTTCCATTCAAAGTACGTGAGCTTTCACAAATGAACATGGGTTTCCGTGAATCATAAAAGTCACAATGTCATATTAGAAAGGCATTTCCTAAACTACAGTGCCTGTGAATATTTGCATTGTTCCGGGTCATTTTGCTCTCAGGGCATCGGAACTGGACTCTTCTGGTCATCTCAACTTAACTTCGGTGTATGTTTTTTTTTTTTTTTTTTAACTTTTGCTTGTTTGCATCATCAAAAAAGTGTCACTCCACAAAACATTGAGACTCATATAATATGATGACATTTGTCTTCTGTCAACAAATGCTAATCATGGTCAAACTCTTTATTGTGCATGTGTTCTCCAGTAGAAAATGGTCACAATAGAACTGAGTGCATCGGTTTTCATCTCTGCTCGAACTCTTTCTATTTGTTTTGTGTTGAAGATTGTGTGTTTTTTGGCAATAATTGGAAGCATTTTTCACCTTCTGCATGTGGACTTAATGTCAAGACATACTGTGGCATACTAAATGAACGAGAATGTTCACAGCACTGTGTAACCCATGTTAATGCAAATATATTTTTTGGGAGGTTCCCCAGGTGTTTTCAAGAACTTCAATGCGCAAGCAGCAAGGAGATTCAGAAGGAGAGCTGATCCTCACCCACATTAACGGCATCACGCCAAAACACAGACCGACAATGGGCGACGACTGGCTCCATAGACAGATTAGCGACAACAGTGGCACATCCGTCACTGCCGGCACACCGCACGCCGCCAACCAGACGCTGCAAACGCTCCCTCACCAGCAGTCGCTGCCTCTCTGCCGAACACTGTGTGACTTTAGTCCCAAAGAGATGAACGTGGACAGCAGTGATCTTTGTCTTAGCTTCCGGAAGGTATGTGTCTCCCAATCCTACCTGACTGTCTATACTGTCTTCCAGGATCGAACACTCCAATAATATCGGTGAAGCCCGCAATCGCGAAAAAATGTCATGTTTTGTTTGATTCTGCATAACATTGCGTGAAAAATTTGGGACTCCACACTCAAAAAACTGATCTGGGAAGGCCAGTATAGTGTTTAAAGGAGTTTTGTCAAAGGTGATGTGGCATGACTCCTCCTTGTGATTGTGACTCCAAGTCAGCCCTTCAAAAGCTCCATAATTGCATGGCTGAATAAGATAAAATGAGAAAAGAGGGGCATTCAGCTGCTAAAGACATTGAAATAATAAATACTGAAAAATAATCATAAGAAAGCAACCATGATAAACAAATAACAAAATATTCCTTTTTAATAAAAATATCCCACACACAGTGTGTCTGTGTTTCGGTTTCGTTCATGTTAGGGGCCGTTGCTCATCGTGGCGTGCGTGCGTGCGTGCATGGTTGGACGCTTACATGCATGTGTGTGTGTGTGTATATGCTTGCACGTGAGCGATCGGTCGCTTCAAAAGTCGATTTTTGGTCAAAACAGTTTGGCCACCCCAGCTGTAGGCATATGTAACTAATTTGTACAGTCTATTTGAAATATGTATTTCGAGGTGGATGAAGAAAATTTCAGAGTGCCATGCACATTAAAAAAACAATTAATGAAATCTTTTTTTTTTTTAATTAGCCTGACTGCATCAGTTGTGAACACAGCCCAAAACCAATTGCACAGTCAAACCTCAAAGAACACTGTCCATTCTAAATTTCTTTGAAATTAGAATCATGTTTTCCCATCAGAAATGATGAACGGAAATTCCTCTGTGCTCTGGCAATAAGCTAGGAGTGTGTACCTCTCACCTCAGCTGGAATAGACTTCACCTCACCGTCACCCAAATGAGAACAAACGCTGAAGAAAATGAATGGACGTTTGTGCAGGCGACTTTTGAAGTAACATTTATACTTTCTTAACTACTATAAAAATGACTAATGTAATGATAGGGAAATAAAATAACATTGTTGAATCCAGGGCCTTTTGTTCTACACTGTAAGGAAAACAAAAGGTTTGGGTGGACTCAAAATTTCAGGTTAACGAACTTCCATAAAATATTAAGTTGGGCAATTTAACAAAGTATTTTAGCTTTTGTTAATGTGAAAATTAGCTTTCCCACATTTTCAACAAATTAAGAGTGTAAAGAATTAAATGTCCCTTGCATTGTCCCACAACTAAAAGATAGAAGTAGAAACAACTCAGCAAATCGTTTTTGAGCAAACAACTTGCTTGCTTTGTTGTGCTAAGTTTTGCCACAAATGATAATAATAATAATAATAATAACATAATCATAATTTCTTTTAAAGTTGTTCCAAATTAAATTACTGCAATTTGTGCTTTTTTTCAAAAGAGCATCGCAAATAATTTTGATGCCTTTGACTCAAGTATGTCAATGTGCTTTTTCTGAAAGGAGGTGTGAGCTCACGGGCTCACTCTGATCTGTCACCAGGTGTTTGGGGCCTTATAACTTGCCGAGCATAGAAAGTTCCTTGTGGTCCTGATTCATAATGGTCATGGTCATTTTTTTTTTCATTTTGTTCTTTTTACTGTTTTGCAGCATTGCTACCCTCAAGGGTTTTTGGGAGTTATATAAGGGCCTTGTTGCTGTATGCTTTCCATTAAAGCACACTTGAGCCTTGCCCCCCCCCCCCTTTTTTATGGCGGTGAGCCGTGTCACAGGCCTGGGCCTTCACAGAGGAACAGAGGGAGTTGATGCCTCATGATTGGCCAGGCTTTAGTATGAGCATACAAAACTGACAAGCTGTCATTTTATTTCCAAGGGTCACCTCTTGCCTTTTTGTCACATTTGCCTCCCTTTAAGTTTGCTCGCTGGTGTGTTTGTGCTCTGCAGGGTGACATTCTCACTGTCATCAGAAGGGTGGATGAACACTGGATTGAAGCCAAGCTGGGCGACAGGGTAGGAATTTGCCCTCTACAGTTTACCGAGGTGAGTTTTCTCCTTATCGCACAAAGTGCATGCCGTCTGTAGAGGCGATGAATTCTAGGGCTCTCTCTTTTCCACGCAAAATCTTTGGATTCGTCCCTAAGTGTCACTCTGTGGCTGCCAAGTGCTGAGGATAGGGATCTCATCTTTGAAGCCCTGCTGTGTGTGCGGATGCTCATTAGTCAGGTTCGCAGCGCTTGCTTAGTTCGCTGACTGTCATTTGTTTTCCTTTGAGCTCCCTGTCTGCGGGTACAAACCTGTTCTACGCCAGGACACATAGCTGGTTCATGCAGTGGGTTTAACATGTTAGTGACTAAGTTTCCTCACTTCCTTCTTTTCTTCTTTTTTTTTTTTTTTTTAAATCTCAGATCTTTCCTCACTTATTTTCCCAAGCACTTCCCCTCCCCTTCTCGGTCCTTACTCCTCCTTATCGTTCTCCTCAAGCTCCGCCTCAACAGCCTTCCAATTTTTTTCTACCTCTGGACTCTTTCATCCTCCTCTTCTTTCTGCTTGTGCTGTGCAGCTAGGCATGAAGACACGGTAATGCTTTCTCTGCTCGGATGGCATAACAGCACATCACTGTGGTGAGTGAAAGCATTAACCCAACCGTGCCTGTCTGTGATGCTCTATATTTCACCTTGCCTCCCGCTCCGCTCTCAGCGCCAGTCGATCCTTCCAGGCTTAGTGGCTGCTACTTATCTTCCCGCATGCCCGTCCAACAAGTTGGAGTGGGTGAGTGGAGGGATGAGCAACCGTAATATGTAGACAGCCGCTTCACTGCTCAGCACTCAGCCTGTCAGGTGCTCGTGACAGGTAGACTTTGAGAGGCTTTCCTAGTTTAAGGACAGGCTGTAAGGAGCTGACATCTCTTTCCTTTTCTGCATCCGTCTTTCCCAGCTAAACTCGGTGGCAACCAAACTGCTGGAAGGAAAGAGTCCACGGAGGAGTGACTCAGCAGAATTTCAACATCGTACCGGAAGCAGGAGCAAAGACAAGGCCCCAGAGGCATCCAACAGGATCGCAAACCAGAGAGTCACGCAGGTTCCCACAACTACTCCTCTTACCACCGCTTTGGTCCCCTCCAAGCCTCACAAACAGCCCATAAACAGCAGCAGCAGCAACTTTTCCAGAGCGCCCTCCACAGAGGAGAACCACATCAGCGGCTTCAACCTCCAGCGACAGTCACACCGCTCCTCCGTGCGCCCCCCTGCCCGTGGGCACGCGCATCCATCGAGAGTTAACTCTCAGCGAGTTCGACGCCACTCTGACAGCCCGCACGGGCTCCTGTTACTGGTGAGTCACACGCCTTGATTTTGTGTCTCATCCGTCTTCCGCCTTCTATTTTGTTGCGGTCACGTGTGCTTGACTTGAATCGAAAACATGGCTGACAAAAGTGTTGCTTTCTGTGAGCTGATAGATGTTTTCATTTGAAAAGATCAAGTTGTTCTCCGGGGTTCAGGGTGGGGACCATTGCCGTAAGACCCAAGGAATGAAAACAGACAGAGGGAGTCGCCCTGATGTTTGTTAGTCTTTGCATGATTGAATGTCTCCTATTAAGACAAAACACATGTGAAAAGAGCTGAGAATGAAAAGTGAGGGGTTAAAAGATTGAGGGCTGAAGGTGAGAGGAACGGAACTTTTCAAAAGTTTGTAATCAAGAGTCCTGGGACCTGTGCCAAAGTTTCCTCTCAGAGGTGAGCGTGACAATATGCATGTCGTTTTCCTCTTCCAACAAAAATACAGCCAAAATCATCACAGGAAAGTTGTTCTATGAAGCCAAACATTATAATGCTCTTGAGAAAAATGCACGAACAATGAAAAAGCCAAAATGAAAGAAGTTAATGGTACATCTCATAACTTTCCACCTTTCTGTATTCAGTGTTTGACGCTGAGTTCACGTGCACTAGATAAAAACTGCATAAAGTCAATTGAAACCAGAGAGTACCTTAATCTTACTTTGACTGACTATAGTAAAGTTAGATTAACACATTTGGTTCAAAGAGAAGATGGGATGGAAGGGAGTTAATGGAATGAATTTATGCGACATCAACTCACATGTTAACATTTTAAAAGTGCACAATGGTTAGAAGTAAAGCCTAGCTGTTCAAAAAGTGTTTCAAAAAAGCCATTTTCGATCTACAGGTATTTATTTTTGTGGTTGTTGTTTGCAGTGGTGTACAATTGCTCTTCATCACACTGAGAGCTGTTTCTGCTATTTCCATTTGCATCATTGGGCTTCATCAGAAGGGCAAAGTATTAGATATGCCAACACCCACAAGAGAACATATTGTTACATCAAAACCCATCACTGCTGCCTTTGTTAAGGCATCATTTTGGATGATGCCATTGCATTGGATTACATGTTTGTACCTTAAATAGAATACAGTGACTACGTAATTTCAGTTCACAGGGCTAATAAAAACATTGCTCGATAGTCACAACAGGTGCATTTGGCAGAATGATGGATGGCTGAGGTGGACCTCCAGTTAACCTTTTGGATTGTATCCCAAATGAGACAAGGGCATTGTGGACCGGGCAAAGGCAAGGTCAAATGCATGCTGGATATGCTGTGTTCTGATCACCTCAGCATAAAACCTTATAAGGACACATCTGAATGTTGCGTAGGTGCTGACCATCTATTTCCATTTTTTGAGAGTGTGGGGACACAACTTAATGAGGAAACTACACAGAGCCACAGTAAGGTTATGCAGTGCCAACATGAAAGACTCTGCAAGGTTTTCAGCGTTAACTTTCCGCCCAAGTGCTCTGCTTCCTGAGATAATGATTTCCTTTGATTCAGCCCAAGTTTCACTGCTCTGCCCTGCAATTAGGCGTGTCAGCTCATAAACCCCCACACCTCAGATAGGTCTGAAAGCGAGATTAAAAATAAGAGCAATAATGACGATATTTTAAAAATCAGGGGGGCAGCTTGGGATGAGGGAACGAAAACAAAATTTGTGAGCTGTATGAAGGCAAGGAAGTAGGAAAATGAGGAAAAATATGAGACACTGTAGATTCAGTGTGTAGGAGGCTCAGAGAGTCCCTCAGTGCGTCTGCTTATCTCTCTCATGCTGATGATGATGAGTCACTGGTGAAATTTGTTATATAACAGGACCCCCCCCTCTCTCTCTCTCTCTCTCTCTCTCTCTCTCTCTCTCTCTCTCTCTCTCTCCTCCACTGCTTTAAAACTCCTTCCTCTTCACTAAGCAGGTAACGTCCACTCACACATCAGTGCGCCAATAATAACAGACAAGTCCTGCTTTTTTTTTTTTTTTTTTTTTAAGGATGTCTGTCCTGAAACATGATGCTCTAACCAAGGGCTCTCTTGAAATACGTTTCAGCCACTTCCCCAGTTCTAAGAAGGTGTGCACACTTGTGCAACCACATTATTTTTACATCACACACACACACAAACACAGAGAGAGAGAGAGAGAGAGAGAGAGAGAGAGAGAGAGAGAGAGAGAGAGAGAGAGAGAGAGAGAGAGAGAGAGAGAGAGAGAGAGAGAGAGAGAGAGAGAGAGAGAGATGATTATCTACCTCACTTGCAATCGTTCTTTGGAGGAAAGTCAGAATGTAGATGTAGTAAATAGTTGCACACAAGAAGTACGCCAACCTTCAGTGCCTCTCTGTGAGTGGTGCAAGTAGGTGTGTGTGGGGGGCAGGCAAGCAGTGATGAGAGAAGTCTAAGGAAGCAGATTTAAACTTAATAAAGTCATTCGGCAAAGAAGAAAAGTTTTGAAGCTTGTCAGTACTTTTTGGTTGTATTTGTCTGAAATATCTGTTTGCAGGTGTACAACATTTATCTTTCTGTTTCCTTCATATGTATTCTATTTGGTGGGTGTTTTGATTTTCATGCATTTTAAGTACGCCTGTTCAAAAGCACTGATCACTTAAAACGCAAACTTTTTTTTAAAGGTGAATTTATGAAATTTTATTCATCCTAGCAGTTCACTTTTGAAATTCACGAAGAGATGAGAGGAATACTCGAGAATTGGATGTGTATTTATTTATTTTAATTTACTTTGTACAGTGATACCAAATATTTCGGACTGCTATGTACTGTGATGTTGTGGGCCTTTGCTGAAAACATTTTAAGTGAGGAACCCTGCTCAACTACTTTTTAAAGTCTCTTTTTGTAGAGTTACTGAGATTCTATACTAAGAATTTTGTTTTGTCTATGCAGTGGTACCTCTACTTACGAACGTCTCTTCATATGAAATTTTCAAGTTACTAACGCCTCAACAGGAAAATATTGCCTCTTGTTACGAAAGAAATGTCAAGATACGAAAGGTAAAAATACAGTATGGACTGCGACTCGAAGTTCCAAGTTTCATGAACGCAACATACTTATCGCTGCTTACTTAGCATCTTCCTGGCTTCCCATTGGCTAAGAGGGACTTTTGTGTGTCTATGTGTGTAGATAGATAGACATGTGTTGATGCAGCATCCGCGTCATTCGCCCCTTGGGCCATGAGGTGGTCCGATAGCTTTACGTAAATGTGAATCACCCAGAAAAAATGTTCACAAGTCGGGCGATCGCTCACGATGCTGATGTTTACCTTGGACCTTTTCGAAGGATTGTTAAAAGCCAACAAAAGCAAACGTCCTTGGATCAGTTCTTGACAAAACGGCAGGCAAAAACCACGTCTGAGAGAGAACATGAACTAAAGAGGGCAAAAAATGATGAGGTTAAATGACCATCATTTTTATTCTTTTCTCTATTCTTTGTTGTTTTTTTACAGTATGCACAACTCTCATTTATTTTGCAATAATCTAATTGTAACATGTATTTGGTACAAATTTTGATGCGTTTTTATGCTTTAGAAAACATTTATGTCTAAATTTGGAGGGGGGGGGGCTTGGAACGTATTAGGGAAACGCGTCTCTACTTACAAAATTTTCTAGTTAAGAAATTTCTTCCAGAACCAATTAATTTCATAAGTAGAGGTAGCACTGTACTCCAGCATTGGGTCTTGATGAAATACGATGTACTTATAGAGCTTTTTCTTACTCATCAATCAGTGAACCTCAGCTGTGGGAGGTGGGTGTGAATATGAAACTATATCCAGAAGGTTTGCTTAACACTGTTTATACTGACACACAGTTTGTAATTATAACTAAACAAGTTAATGGTACAGATTTAGAACAGTCTCATTATTGCAAATTATTCAAAGGGGGAAATCAGAAATACTAGCATTGATTCACCAGATAATTTCATATTTTATTGATTTTTTTTTTCCTTCACCAAAAAGCTGCAATGACATGGTTTCTGAAACATTCTATTTCAAACCATCATTAATCAAAAGAATAAGAATAAGAAAAACCTTTATTCATCTCACAATGGAGAAATTCCCAATTTACAGCAACAAAGTTATTAAAGGAAGAAAGTAGAAGAACAAAAAGTATAGGAGTATAACAGATCAACAACACCCATTAATACCATATGTACATACATTCATAATGACAAACAATTACCTTCTTAGTTTTGACACACTGCAGACTAGTTCCTCTGAATAAGCAAACCACAATGGGGATTGGACATCTTGCATACAAATGAACCTTTATCAATGTATTTTATTTTTGTGTTTTCTAGTCTTGTTATGCCTTTAACTTAATCACTTTTTTAATTATTTTGATAGTGGGGGACCCATGTCCCGCCATGCAATTGTAACATGAAATAAAACCACAGTTTGCTTTTTGAAGAAGCCCCACCAGCCTCAAATGTGTTTACTTGTTGCATCGTATTTTTAAAATAAATGTAGTTTGGCGCTCAGAAGGCTTTCTATGGGCTGAGATGTCCTCTGATGAGAAAATGGCTCTCAACCCATGATTTATAAGTCGTGTATTTGGCCAATAGAGTTCCTCTCCCCTTGTAAATACTCTCTAGCCGGTGCTGGGTCATTGCACGCGGCAATTGCGTGACTGCTGCTCGAGTGAGACGGCTGATAAAACAGACCGAGAATAGAAGACGGACGGACACAGAGAAGTGAAAAGGATTAAATAATTGAATACATGAAGAATGCAGTGTTATGCTTTTCTCCTGGTGTATTACTTGCAAAGAGTTGATGATGTTCACAAATGATTAATTAGCCTCATTTGGTCTGGGGTTTATTCACATTTAAGCGTGTTCACAGTAAAGATGTCATGGCTGAGATTTACAACATCATCTCTGGAAGCTAGAATGTCTTCAGGACATATTCAGTGCACTTTATCGAAACCCTTTTGATTTGTGTGGCCCACAGCCCCGCTTTTCACAAGTGACTTGTAGGTACTGTAGTTGCAATGAGTTCATGTAAATTATAGCTTGCTTTATGGTTCGTGCCAGCGCTGAATGCAAGTGTGCATGCAATGCAGCCTAATGGCCACAGAGCCTCAGGATCCAGGCACCTCCTATAAAGAGTACTTCTTGCTTCGCTGCCCACTATTAATTCTTTAAGCACTGGTTGTGCCTTAAATAGCATCAGGTTTGCACTGAGGCCATGACAGGGAATATTATTTCTGTTTTGTAAAGAGCAGATTAAATGAATCAAGGGATTGATCGGATACTTCCCCGGCCACAACATCGTGTATCCTTGCACAGGCTGAGGTCCAATGCAAAAGCTGCATCAGAAATTCAGCATTTGCAAAGATAACAATGTTTACTTTACACCACCGAAGTATTATGGACTCAAAAGTAGATCCATCTTAATGGTGCGATGTAGCATTCCCTTTAACACACTGAATGTTAGAAAAAGTACTGATAGTATAAAAATATGATGTAAAAGAATCATGTTGTGGTCTTTTCAGTCAACGTTTCTCAATCCACTCAAACACCTTTGGGGTGATTTTGGGCTGGCGCAATACGCTGCCCTTGCCATTGCTATCTTTAGAAGACTGAGTCAGGCAGTACTTTACCTGTTTCTAACATACGTCATTTGTTGAAGGCAGACATGGCGTCACCAAATGTAACATGAAATATCAAGGATGAAAACATTACATGTGGATGACGAGTTTGTACCTTAGTAAATTTATGATTGTTGTTGTGGTATTCAAGGGTGAAACTCTGCTCAGCACTCAGATGCTTTAGACATTTTTACCCATTGTATTGCTTTAAAAGAGAAGGCAAAAGGTAGAAAGGACTCTCAGTATAATGCTTCAACCACAGTAATAAAAGTGAAATGAAATATGTCTGATTGGGTCAAGAAGCAATTTTTGAATACCACTCTTACATTGAACATCATGAAACTGAGCAGGTGTACGGAATGTGGCCTGTGAGTGTATGTTCTGGTATGCTATGAGTCGTTTCCTCGAGTGAACTGGTGGAATTCCCCAACACCACCCTGACTATTTTGGATTGAGTGTCTTGTGGTTGACAAGTTCAGCTATCCTCCTTATGTTCAAGTTGATGATCATTTTGCCTTTTTTTTTCGTTACAGAGTGAGAAGATGGCCAACGAGGCTCCACCCAACATCTCAATGGCTCTGTCAAACCCGCACATTTCATCCGCTTCTGCAGACAGCAAAAGCTCCAACACGCAGCAGCTCTCAATCAGTGTGTGAGTCCCTGATTAAAACCGTGTGCAGTGATATTCCTGAAGTCAACCACAGTGTGTACGCAGTGCTGAATCACCGCTGCGAAGTTAGAGTTACAGATAGGTTCAAACTGTCACTGACTCCTATATTGCTGCTTCCTATCAATGTGCATCCTTGAAACCAGTTAAGATCGTGGAGTCACATGTAGGAAGGTACCATCATATTTTTAGGTTATTCTGCGCTCCTGTTTGGGCATGGCTAAAGATAGAATACGAGCAGGAAACTTTTTGGACACAATCGGCCTTCTTTAAGCACCTGTGTGACAGCAAAGGCTTCACGGCCGTGTGTCAATCATTTATGGTATCATTAAATGCTTTATCTGGGAAGATATAGTCATCTGGTAGTTAATTTTGGATTTTGAATCGAGGACAGGGTCAAACTTTCAAACTTAGCTTGTAGCAGACGTGTGTTACATCATGCATGCTGTGATCATGACGTCTCTGAACCACTGGTGAAAGGAGAATTTGATTTTCTCCTCTTTCATCTGTAGCCACTCCTAACGTATGTAGGAATAGTTGTTACGATTGTATTATTGTGGATGTTTTTATATTAGGCCAAACAAAAAAGATAGTGTGTTTCCGGTAACAAGAAATTTCAGCATAGGGTCGGTAGGTCGGACAAAGTTTTTTTTTTTTTAAATCTTTTTTTTTCCCCATAAAAAATTTAAACAAAATAACCATAAAACAAGAAGACATTGAACCCGCCGCTGCCACCTATAGTCCGGACTTGGGGGGGCCGGGGCGCGCCGCCGCCTCCGCCGCCCTCGGTTTTTAATTGGCCCGCGGGGT